CCCCCCACTTCCAGGTGCCATTGTAATATATCGCCCCACTTCCAGGAGCCATTGTAACCAGATAATCAATGTTATTCACATCACCTGTCAGTAATCATAATGTTATGGCTGATCAGTGTACATGATGTATATACAAGATATATATATATATATATAGTGACACACAAATCGTTTATAAACAGTGTTGGGTACCTATAAACATACCAATATCATGTATGGATAATACATGATATCTAAAAAGCTCTTGAAATAGCCCATTTCCAGAATCATACAGAAAACCAGGATTGCTGTGCCCTAGCTATGGAGTCAGCCTCCTTTCTAATCCCTCCACAGTCATCCTTGCTGCAGTAATCCTGATGGAGGAGAATCAGCACTGACCTGGATGGGGGTACAGAGGTGTGATGTGGATGGACAGCTCCTGGGTACCTGGGATGATGATGGTCCTCTGATAGATGAGGCTGTACAACCTTCAGATTGCTCTCCTCCTTGTCACATACACAGCAGACTCCAGGCTCTGAATCATTCACTACAGAGAGCCAGGGAGGAGCCACAGCCGCATTCACCTTCCCCTGGCCTGACTATGGAATCCCTAAAGACTGTGACATCACATTCCCAGTAACCCCTCACTGGCTAGACGTAGAAGTACTGTGCACACTCATCGTATCCTGGAAATGATTTCCCAATACAAAGATATCTATTGATAGGATATGAATATCAGGAAGGGATCCTGGGTTACGTGTATTGTAAAGAACAGTTTATGTCTAAAGAAGCGCTATTGCGAAACCTATTCTGATAGATCAGTATCCATTATAAGCCTGCTTTTAATTAGCATTGTACATGAATTATATATCGCCATTCGACAACGGTTTGCTCAGTGCTCTACAAAATAAAGGGAGACAGTACAGTTACAATACAATTCAAGATAAGAGGGTTAGGCTGGCTGTACACTAATAGAGCAAATCGTTTAAAATGTTTGTTTGATTTTCTGACAATTAATGGGGTCAAATCGATTCTGACCATAGTGATGAAAGAAAATTGAAGGAGCGGGATGGAAGTTTTTTCTCAAACAAATGATATTCTAACAGTGAATGTGGTTTTCATTTGGGAAACTCTGATCATTTCCAAAATCGAATGTTAGCAGTGAACGAAAACTGCTCAGTGTCTGCAACCCCCCTCTGCCGATCCCTCCACTGGCTTCCAATCAACCAAAGGATAAAATTCAAGATATTAACAAGCACTTACAAAGCCATCCACAACTCTGCCCCCGGCTGAATCTCAAACCTGGTCTCAAAGTATCACCCTAACCGCCCCCTCCGCTCTTCCAAAGACCTCCTGCTTTCCAGCTCCCTTGTCAACTCCTCCCATTCCCGCATCCAGGACTTCTCTAGAGTCTCTCCCATCCTCTGGAACTCTTTACCCCAACCTGTCCAACTATCTCCCACTCTAACTGCCTTTAGGCGATCCCTTAAGACTCATCTCTTCAGGGTAGCCTATCCCACCTCAACCTAACCACTGAACCATCACATTCTGAAACAATTCATCCCCACACCGCTACCTCCTCATGTATCACTGGCCCCTCCCTTTTAGATTGTAAGCTCTCAGAGGCAGAGCCCTCCTTACCATCTTGTCTTGAATTGTATTGTGATTGTAATGTCTTCCCTATATTGTAAAGCGCTGCACAAACTGTTGGCGCTATATAAATCCTGTATAATAATAATTTCGACATTCATCAACTCTCTGATGGGTTTATCGAATGTTCCGATTAGATTTTTTTTTTTAAACGTTCGTATAAAAAAATCTACCAGTGTGTGGTCGGGTTAAGGAGAGCTTACAATCTAAACAAATCTGGCACATCTTAAAGTGGACCTTCACCCTCTTCACTGACTTTCAATAATTTCACTTCTTTCCCCCACCTCACCTTAAACATAAAGGGGCTAACGTATAAACATTTCACCCGTAAAGCTGGGCAACTGCGATCACACAGCATTCATGCCACTAGATGGAGCCAAGGAGCATAGGACATTCCAATGCTCCTCAGCTCCATCTAGTGGCGGAAATGCCATGTGAACAGCATTCACCCAACTATATGATGGGCGGAACATTTATATATCAGCCCCTAAAACAGAATATCAGGGCCAATGCTCGGGGGACTAGCTAATTCTAAAGGAAACTAAAAATGTTAAACATCAAGCAGCAGCATCCTTTGTAAGTGATTCAATCAGAATTTGAACCAACTTAAAAAAAACTTTTGCTTTTAACATTACTTTAAAAAGAACTATGGGGTAAGTGTTTTTCCCCATAGTTCTCTTTAGGGTCATGGGAGGACATATACTAAGCTCCTCCTGTGACCCAAAGCTCAGTATATACTGGGCTATTGCCTGCTTTATACAGAGATCGCCGGAGCCGGGACGAATCCCAACAATACTGTCGTGATCCACTGAGCTGTGTGAGTGACATTGGGTTCTGCCTATCTAGAAGCAGAGCCAGCTGTGCATGCCCACTTCCCCGTCTGTCCCTCCAGTTAACGCTCACTGCAGGGAGATTCTTGGGGAGTGAGCAGATCGATGCATGTTTCTGCTCACTTCCCGATCACAAAGCCAACCTGTGACAGCTTCTTCGTCACACGTCGGTTCTAACTATGAGGATGAGTGGAAATTACTTACCTCATAGTTCTCCATTAGGCGTCAGTGAGAGTGAAACGCATCTATGATTAAGTGCCTGTGAGCATGAAATGCATAAAATTAGTCTTTTCTTGTTGTATTCCCATGCCGAGTTGTTGGGTACCTATAAACATACCAATATCATGTATGGATAATACATGATATCTAAAAAGCTCTTGAAATAGCCCATTTCCAGAATCATACAGAAAACCAGGATTGCTGTGCCCTAGCTATGGAGTCAGCCTCCTTTCTAATCCCTCCACAGTCATCCTTGCTGCAGTAATCCTGATGGAGGAGAATCAGCACTGACCTGGATGGGGGTACAGAGGTGTGATGTGGATGGACAGCTCCTGGGTACCTGGGATGATGATGGTCCTCTGATAGATGAGGCTGTACAACCTTCAGATTGCTCTCCTCCTTGTCACATACACAGCAGACTCCAGGCTCTGAATCATTCACTACAGAGAGCCAGGGAGGAGCCACAGCCGCATTCACCTTCCCCTGGCCTGACTATGGAATCCCTAAAGACTGTGACATCACATTCCCAGTAACCCCTCACTGGCTAGACGTAGAAGTACTGTGCACACTCATCGTATCCTGGAAATGATTTCCCAATACAAAGATATCTATTGATAGGATATGAATATCAGGAAGGGATCCTGGGTTACGTGTATTGTAAAGAACAGTTTATGTCTAAAGAAGCGCTATTGCGAAACCTATTCTGATAGATCAGTATCCATTATAAGCCTGCTTTTAATTAGCATTGTACATGAATTATATATCGCCATTCGACAACGGTTTGCTCAGTGCTCTACAAAATAAAGGGAGACAGTACAGTTACAATACAATTCAAGATAAGAGGGTTAGGCTGGCTGTACACTAATAGAGCAAATCGTTTAAAATGTTTGTTTGATTTTCTGACAATTAATGGGGTCAAATCGATTCTGACCATAGTGATGAAAGAAAATTGAAGGAGCGGGATGGAAGTTTTTTCTCAAACAAATGATATTCTAACAGTGAATGTGGTTTTCATTTGGGAAACTCTGATCATTTCCAAAATCGAATGTTAGCAGTGAACGAAAACTGCTCAGTGTCTGCAACCCCCCTCTGCCGATCCCTCCACTGGCTTCCAATCAACCAAAGGATAAAATTCAAGATATTAACAAGCACTTACAAAGCCATCCACAACTCTGCCCCCGGCTGAATCTCAAACCTGGTCTCAAAGTATCACCCTAACCGCCCCCTCCGCTCTTCCAAAGACCTCCTGCTTTCCAGCTCCCTTGTCAACTCCTCCCATTCCCGCATCCAGGACTTCTCTAGAGTCTCTCCCATCCTCTGGAACTCTTTACCCCAACCTGTCCAACTATCTCCCACTCTAACTGCCTTTAGGCGATCCCTTAAGACTCATCTCTTCAGGGTAGCCTATCCCACCTCAACCTAACCACTGAACCATCACATTCTGAAACAATTCATCCCCACACCGCTACCTCCTCATGTATCACTGGCCCCTCCCTTTTAGATTGTAAGCTCTCAGAGGCAGAGCCCTCCTTACCATCTTGTCTTGAATTGTATTGTGATTGTAATGTCTTCCCTATATTGTAAAGCGCTGCACAAACTGTTGGCGCTATATAAATCCTGTATAATAATAATTTCGACATTCATCAACTCTCTGATGGGTTTATCGAATGTTCCGATTAGATTTTTTTTTTTAAACGTTCGTATAAAAAAATCTACCAGTGTGTGGTCGGGTTAAGGAGAGCTTACAATCTAAACAAATCTGGCACATCTTAAAGTGGACCTTCACCCTCTTCACTGACTTTCAATAATTTCACTTCTTTCCCCCACCTCACCTTAAACATAAAGGGGCTAACGTATAAACATTTCACCCGTAAAGCTGGGCAACTGCGATCACACAGCATTCATGCCACTAGATGGAGCCAAGGAGCATAGGACATTCCAATGCTCCTCAGCTCCATCTAGTGGCGGAAATGCCATGTGAACAGCATTCACCCAACTATATGATGGGCGGAACATTTATATATCAGCCCCTAAAACAGAATATCAGGGCCAATGCTCGGGGGACTAGCTAATTCTAAAGGAAACTAAAAATGTTAAACATCAAGCAGCAGCATCCTTTGTAAGTGATTCAATCAGAATTTGAACCAACTTAAAAAAAACTTTTGCTTTTAACATTACTTTAAAAAGAACTATGGGGTAAGTGTTTTTCCCCATAGTTCTCTTTAGGGTCATGGGAGGACATATACTAAGCTCCTCCTGTGACCCAAAGCTCAGTATATACTGGGCTATTGCCTGCTTTATACAGAGATCGCCGGAGCCGGGACGAATCCCAACAATACTGTCGTGATCCACTGAGCTGTGTGAGTGACATTGGGTTCTGCCTATCTAGAAGCAGAGCCAGCTGTGCATGCCCACTTCCCCGTCTGTCCCTCCAGTTAACGCTCACTGCAGGGAGATTCTTGGGGAGTGAGCAGATCGATGCATGTTTCTGCTCACTTCCCGATCACAAAGCCAACCTGTGACAGCTTCTTCGTCACACGTCGGTTCTAACTATGAGGATGAGTGGAAATTACTTACCTCATAGTTCTCCATTAGGCGTCAGTGAGAGTGAAACGCATCTATGATTAAGTGCCTGTGAGCATGAAATGCATAAAATTAGTCTTTTCTTGTTGTATTCCCATGCCGAGATTTAAAATAAAATCACCGCAAACAGATTTTGGAGTGCAGACACCATTTATTTTTGCAGTAACTGTCTGTGATGAGTCGGGCTAGCACCCGTGGGCTGAGCGGATAAAGTTGGAGCAACCTGGAGCAGCATTGTGTTTGGATAAAATGCTATTTACTTGGAAGCTATGCAGGGCAGAC